CGCGGAGCGGCTGGACCCGTGAGCCATGGCCACTGAGCCTGCGCGTCCGGAGCCTGTGCTCCGCAACGGGAGAGGCCACAACAGTGAGAGGCCTGCGTACGGCAAAAAAAAAAAAAAAAAAAAAAAAGATATATTTTGCTGCTGATTGTAAATTTAGACATTTTAACCATGTGTTACTTTAAATGTATCCAATGAAATATAAAAACCATGATGACTAAATACGTATTGCATAACATCATTCATTCAAAAATAAATAAGCTTTTCTTAACAGTTGGAGATTTTACATTATTCTTTCTCCTTGAAATCTCATTTAGATGTCAATCCCACCCCCCTAAGTTTCCTAGTATAATTCTATGTGTCAGGGTGTCTTATTAGTCACCCTAGCATACTTTAACACAAAAATAGGTTTTTACATTTAATTTTCTAAAATTTCCTGTGACCAATGAGCTTTAAGCATAAAGACTCTTCTGGATTGTAAAATCACTACAAATAGCATTACTAATCTATAATCAAAATGACACAATTACTTCTAATTTCAATGCATTTAGCCCTAAAAGTAAAATTTTACTGACAGTGCAACTCTGAGTGAGACGGTGGCTTAATTAAAGGAGGCTTTGCTGAAACCAGTATTTCAAATTGACCCCATTTTATCTTGTGCCTGTGATTTAACACGTTGAGACAGGGCACCAAAGTAAGATTTGATACGGCTAAGAGAGATGGCTTTCTTTAGAAAAATGGCAAAAGGGGTAACTGTGAAAGTGGAAGTTGGAAAAAAATAAAAAACCTGGTGTAACACTTTAACTGCAGATACAGTCTCAGTTTTAGAAAAGAGAATACCTACAAGTTGAGAATCTGGAAAATGGTCCCCTTAAAACTATTCCTGCCCATCTCACATCGTCTTGCTGAATGCCCTGGGGTGTGATGCATATCCCAATGTGAAGACCGCTGGCACACAGTTCTCTACATTGTGGGGTCAGGGTAATAAAGACAACTACATGTTACTGCCTTTAATCTGATTGTTGGAAAAGGTTAGAAAGCAGTGCAATAGAGTAGAAAGAGTCCTAAATCAATAGTAAAATCAGCAATCATTTACTGAGCACCAGGAAATATGCTGTGTATTTTATATCCCATTCCCATTGAATCCTCATAAAAATTCTAAAAGGCCAATACTGCTTTTATGCCCATTTAACAGATGGGAATAACAACTAAGGCTTAGGATCCCAGATCACACAGCTAATAGGTAGCAAGGCCAGGATCCCCATCCAGGCCTGTCAACTTCAGGGCTCCCACTCTTAATCATGATATTATCAGGGATAGGAACTCCCAGCTTTCTATGAGAGGCACCCCATTTCTAAGGTTGGATGATCATCACTACAACCCCTTCTAATGCCAGGTCTGTACCAAGTCTCCATATGTTTGTTTTCATCCACCCATATCACGGCATGTTGTAATGCCTTACCCACCATCCTGACCCTGGGTCAGCCTGTCAGCAAGAACTCATGGCTAAAAAGGCTTCTTCAAACATTTTAATAAGGTAGGAGACTGGACAGAAGAATGAAACCGTTCAGAGCTGCTCCCATTTGGTTAACCCTGAGCAGGAACTTCACAGGATTTCCTGCCTGACACAAAGTCCTGACAGATCAACATCTCAGCACCACGCCCACTGTCTCTGCAGGTGAGGTCACCAGCAAGAATTTCCAGGCCACCGGCATCTCTATCCACAACTACTGCTGACTTCAAACCCGGAAATCTTAAGGGGAAGAGAGCGAAGCATGTGGGCTTAGAGACCTACCCAGATATAGCTAGTTTACTGAGGGATAAAGAGTACTTCATCCTATCAAAAAGAAAAAGAAAAAAATCCCCAGCTAAAGTAGTTGCTCTTCTGAGGGGGGAGAGAAGGTAGTTTTGAAAAAGGCAAAGTACTAATTGCATAGAATTATCATCTTTCACTAATAATACTAATTTTAAAAATAATAAAATATTCCTTTACCCAAAAAAGTCATCAGTAAGAGACCAGCAGCCCATACAAAACTGACCAAAAAGAAAAAAAGATTCCATGAAGCAGTCTTGGGTTATAATTAAGAAGACGGGCACATTCGGGGAATCCGAAAACTAGCTCTGGAGAGTTGTGATGAGCCAGCTCCTCCTGGCTGGCTGCCAGACCACTGCTCCAGGTCCTGGCTGGACAGGTTCTTCTCCTGAGCCAAGAGGAAGCATTTTGTCCACCTGAGACCTTCCACGTTCAACTCTAAATTAAGCAGAGCAGGTGCCTGGAGGTCGAAGGTCAAGAGCAGCAAGATTATTTCAGAGACTAAAGAATTTGGAAGATGAAACCAGAGACAGAAGGGGAGAGAGGTTATAAAACAGGGCCTCACAGAGACTGGCAGAAGGCAGGCAGGAGAAAACTGGGGGAGAATGAAAACACAGAGCAAAGTGTCAAGCAGAAAGAAACAAGGAAAGAAGGGGGTAAGGGAGGGAGGGAAAGGAAAGAAGGAGAAAGAATGCGTGCAAAGATTTTAATAGTAAATATCTCTGGAAATTTTCTATTCAAAACCAGTGACCTTACTGCTAAACTGAAGTAAAAATCTTTGGAAGGCCCAGGCTCTTCTTTTGCACAAAAAAAATGTGTATAAAGCATATGTTTATACCTATAGTTTTTACATTTACATGTTTTCTGCAGTTTGCACAGTTTTGCTAAGAGAATCTAGCAAAATTCTCCAAGGGTTCTCCTTGTTTCCATGTATGGAAAAGAAAATACACCAGTTTCCAAAATGGATTCCTATTTTGTTATCTAAAATGAAAGAAATTAAATTGTACAGGCTCTTTTTTTCTTTTTTAAATATATATTTTGCAGTGGTGGCTCTGGCCCAGCACAAGCGGGAACACACAGACAGCCAAGCAACACTCCTTTACAGCTCTCTTCTGACCTCACTTGAACTTTCTCATTCCTCACTGGTCTAAATTTTTTATTTAACTATCTCATCAAGTAGAATTACATAAGTAGTTTAATGAAACATTAAGAACTAGATTCCATTTGGGGTTCTTGATTTCGTATAATCTACGAAACTTATAAACTTATATAAACTTATATAACTTATATAAACTTTTATAAGTTATAAACTTATATAACTTTCGTATAATCTACAAAACTCTTCAAATCTTGCCGTGGTAGATGATAGACTCTAAGGAGAAAGTGTGAATATATGTCAATATTGTCAACATTTGAAGTGGGTAAAAATTAATTCAAATAAAACAACAAAACTGTAGCTCACAACTATAGTTCTGACATAAGTTGAAAAATATGAACATATATTATGTGGCCTGTCAAGACAGTGAATGCAAGGAACTCACTAATGTCATAACAGTCCTAAATTCATAATTATAAATTATATTTTTACTGCTGTAACTGGATTGAAATTCTCCTCCCATGATTTTTGTAACCAGTATATTTTCCACATTCAAAAGAGACAGAAGTTAACAACTGGCTAAAACTAATAAAGGACAGTAGAAGATACTTCATCTATGGATATGATATTGTCTTACTAGACCCAAGATACAGTTTCTGAAATTTATAAAAGGGTAAACTCCCTAAAGTACAGACCCCAAAGTTAATTAATGGATACTCCACCTAAAATTGACGGCGAGTAAGTCAGAGAAAGACAAATATCGTATAATATGACTTACATATGGAATCTAAAAAAATGATGTAAATGAACTTATTTACAAAACACAAATAGACTCACAGACATAGAAAACAAACTTACTGTTACCAAAGGGGAAAGGGAGGGAGGGATAAATTAGGAA